TATAGTAATATAGTAATATAATAAATATATATATAGAAAATATAATGTTAATAGTAATAATAATAAAAGTAATATATATAAAAATCTATCTATATATACATAAATAATATATATATATATACACACACATAAATATAATATATATATATACATATATATATATACATATTGAAATATTGATGTTTATGCATTCCTACGGACATATATAGCTGTGTTGTGCCGTAATCTTGAGATCATAGTTTGATGACTGAGGGTTGAGCCCAACTTTGGTGCTCCATGGGTTAGGGGCAGTGGAATGGCCTTCAAGTACACTGTAGTGGGCCTACAACAACCATGAGCGCATCGTGTTATGAAGTATTACAAAATTCTAAACCAAATTTTAATAGGATACATACTCTTTAAGTACAAGCGAACCCTTCTATTTGAAAAGCCGTTACTACGAATTAGCACTTGCAGCGACTATTCCGCAGATACAGCTCACAGCGAACACTATTCCGAGCGGTAAGGCCCTTTGCAAATGGGCATGTGTGTATGTGTTTTGAAAGTAATTGAAGTATAGCACAGAAGGGCACAGAGTCACAGACACCTACCACAGTCACCCACACTCGTGATATAAATGCAAGGTCTTGCTATAGTGTATATATTGTACATCACAGGCGGTATATAAAGTATATACCACATAAGGTTAGCCTACACCACTCAGGATTCAAACGCACTAAAAGACCACCGGACATTGCATATTCAAGCTCAGCTTTCATATAAATAATACTCAACGAAGCGGTACGGATCGCAGCGCGAGCCTTGTGATATGGGACTATATGTTTCAGCATGTTTTATTGTAGTAACGTTCGGGGTGGGTGAAAACGCAGGCAACCATTGGAGTCGATCAGACATGTATCTTTATGTATAATATAATTATAAGATTTTCTCACATACTGTATGTGATACGTGTAGACCTGATCTAGATTGTCACAGACTTACACGAAGCACTAGGACAGATAGACGGATCCTGCACCATAAAGTCTAAAGCGAATAGCTCAAACGGGTTGGCATATTTCATATCCGTGGCAACATGAACATTGAAACAGTACACGTGTACGCCAAAACCCTAAAAGGTCTATACTCACTAAGTCTCTAGCGTACGCCGGGTGTGCTGTGTGGGCACTTGACCAATGATAAGGGGTAGCGCTTGTGGGAGTTCACTCAAAACGTTATACGTTAAACCGGCTATACTGTAATTCCCCCAAAACAATATGCACACATGTATTTATTTGCAACCCATAGACTTGTGAAGGCAGTTTTTTTTATAAAGTCTGTAAACAAGAAATAAACGTTTAATGGCTCATAAACCGAATTACATAATAATAAGACACGTTTATTATACGTTAAACTTATATTTATAAGACCCATAGCTTCTCTTGCTGAAAATGTGAATTGATTGGCTGTGATCATTTGTGAGCCTGAGAGTTTGAGTTCTAGTCCACTAAAATTAACAGTGGGGACTGGGCTACTGGGGCGTATAATTAGAATTTAAACGTTTTCATTTACGTTTGTTTTTTCCAATATCTAAAAAGAGCAAGAAGATATAAAAAAAAAAAATAATAAATTGATATAGTAATAGCGGCTGGACAACTATCGAGGATTCCACGTGCGGGTAAAAAGCGGCCCTTCAAAAGAATATAGCCATGCGAAACACCCCAACCTCTCTCATTGTACCTTGCTTGGATATCACGCTCATCCGTCGTCGTATTCCCCCAGCACAACGTGTAAGCGCACACACACACACGCACACAAACACACACATAACTATGTCAGGCAGAGGCAGAGGTGCACCCAGGGGTCGTGGTGGTCCATCACGTGGTCGTGGAGGTGATCGCGGCGGCCGTGGCGGTCGTGGCGGAGGTGACCGTGGCGGTCGTGGCGGAGGTGACCGTGGCGGTCGTGGCGGTCGTGGCGGCGGCAGAGGACGTGGGGGGGCTGGTAAGCCCATGGGTAGGGGAGCCAAGGTAGTAGTTGAGCCGCATCGCTTCAAGGGTGTGTTTGTGGCACGTGGTAAGGACGATGCATTGCTGACTAAGAACTCGACCCCCGGCGAGAGTGTGTACGGTGAAAAGCGTATCTCGACTGAGGTGGACGGGGAGAAGGTAGAGTACAGAGTCTGGAACCCTTTCCGCAGTAAGTTGGGCGCTGCAGTCCTGGGTGGAGTAGATAACTTATATATGGAGCCTGGATCCAAGGTCTTATATTTGGGTGCCGCTTCTGGTACATCAGTGTCACACGTGTCCGACATTGTTGGTCCGGTAAGTCGTTTCTTTCGCGTTTCTGTGCATGTTTTAACGGTTTTAAGGGTTTTAGCAGTTGGGATTGATATCTTACCGCTATTGGCCACCCAGCTGGTCGAGTGATGTTGTCGGTCGCGTATTTCGGCTGCATGTAGCACGTTCACTGATTCAGAATAACGTCGTCGGCTGCTACACGTGGTGTCCACCTGTTCCTATTTTTTCTTCTCAGCTTGGCAACTTGCGTTTTCCCTTCATTGCTTCTTGTATATGACACCCAGTCATCTGTACGCTTCTCGTTTCCCTTTTCTCACTCACGCGTCGACCCATACCCAACACGTACGGATGCCATCCATTTGCTCATCCTTGACATCTTGCATCCTTTCGTACGCGTAGGAGGGGTGTGTATACGCCGTAGAGTTCTCACACAGATCAGGACGTGATCTCCTGAACTGTGCGAAGAAACGCACAAACATCATTCCCATCATCGAAGATGCGAGACACCCTCACAAATACCGCATGCTGGTTGGCATGGTGGATTGTGTGTTCGCTGATGTGGCTCAGCCCGATCAGGCGCGTATCGTTGGTATCAACTCGCAAAACTTTTTGAAGACCGGTGGGCACTTCGTCATTTCAATCAAGGTAGGTGGTTGTTACCTTAGGCCTACGTCTCTCCCAGAGGAAGTTCGGTACTTTCTGTCGGGTGTTTGTTGTATGGTGGTGTGGGCTCTACTATCAAAGGCGTAGGGTACGATAACCGGTCCATGATGTTTGATAAGCTTTGTTTTAATTTCTGAACAGATTTGAGGAAAATTAATTATTGCTGAGACCGTCTGTTGTTGTATATGATGTTTTGGTGTCTACATATAGATTTAGTATAGGCGCTACTTGTTTTTGCAGAACTATGCACAACCCAGAGTGTGACTGTATCTATAGTGCGTTTAGTATAGTATTAGTGTATTTAATTAAATAACTGTTAATGTAGACAGCGCTATTTCGTAGGCATGGTAACCCATGTTTGGATCGTATACGTATATCAGTAAAGACGACTAGTTAATTAATGCAACGGGTGATATTCATTGGATTTGTTTCCACGATTGTTCAATTTGCACGGATGAATTTTGGAAGTAGACTTATTTCAGTGTTGTTTGCTTGTGAGCCTTATGCGATATACCTGATTGGGATTGTCAGCGGGAAAATAAGTATTTCATTATATATGTTAATTACATACACATCACGTACACACACCTGTTTGTATGCTGTTTTCGTAGGCCAACTGTATCGACTCAACTGTAGAGGCCGAGAAGGTGTTCGCGTCAGAGGTACAAAAACTGAGGGAGATGGACTTAAAGCCCGAAGAACAGTTAACGCTAGAGCCGTACGAGAGGGACCACGCCGTGGTTATTGGCACATACAGAAAGCAAAAGTAGACGTGTTTTGTATGTAACATACTTACGGATGCTGGTCACGTTTAAAATAAGTTTAAGACGGGCGTTCAATATAGCTGCATGGAATTAGAACATTTAAGTATTCGGTGGTGATGGTGTGATGAAGATGAGAGGAAGAGTTAGGGACATCTATGCTGAGCGATGGGGTTGTACAAAGGGACATATGAAGTAAAGGAATGAAAAATATTATATCAGCACTAGCGCTGTGATTAAACCAGGTCTGTGGCGTTACACACCCTTTTACTGACATCTATCTGTTGGTGTGGCCGAGTGGAGTCCGAAGGTCATGTGTAGTAATTATATTACGGATGGGTCTGTTCGTATTTGCCTAGAGATACATAGTTAGAGTGTACTGTTACAGGCACTTGTTTAGTATCAGATACATTAAGCATTTTAGACTTGTGTAACCACAGATACATTAAGCATTTGGACTTATTTAGCCACAGATACATTAAGCACTTAAACCAGTTTATGTGTACTGTTACAGGCACTTGTTTAGTATCAGATACATTAAGCAATTTAGACTTGTTAGGCCAGATACTGATCAAGCATTTAAACTTTTTTAGCCACAGATACATTAAGTATTTAAACCAGTTAAAGTGTACTGTCACAGACACTTGCTTAGTATCAGATACATTTAGCATTTAAATCGGTTGAAGTGTACTGTTACAGGCGCTTGTTGCAAAACAGTCCGTCAGAAGACACACTTATAGTGAGGTATCAGGGCTGAAGGTCTGAGTTATTGGAGGCAGTATCACAAGCACTGCGGCGTAATAGAAGTCCAAACAGTTAATACATAGAGACAAAGAAGGTTCTCACTGTACCTAGTCTATCCCACCACTGATGAACCTATTGGTCTCATCTGTGCGGAAGGCAGTGCGTGACCGGAGACAGTCAGATACAGTACAGGGTAGGTATGTTGGACAGGGAGTGTTGCCTATGCTTTACTCAAAGAACTTTAATACACCAAATAGGCGGCCAACCCAGAAGCGAGCGTATTGTATACGCTGGAAAAGATTAATAAATACCATACAGATCGCATAAAATAAATATAAATATAAT